AACTAATCCTGACTTCTGATCTATCAAACCTTTTCAATGCCAAAATAAGAGCAAAGCATGTGGCAACTTCTGTACACCTAAAGCTCCAATGAAGTATTCTCAGAGATGTATTTTAACACCCTAAATATTTCTTTCATTAGTTATGTATTACAGCCGACTGCAGAAATGACTGTGTTGCTGTCTGAATAAACTCAATTGCCCTCCCTCTAAATGACTGTAATCTCTCCCTGTCACCATTCCAAGAAAAAAAGTCCATCTGTTCCTATTGCATCCATCTCCTCTGTAGCACTGTGATATAATGAGCTCCATTATATCACAGCATTTTCATTCACAACTCTCTAAAATTTCTCTATTTTGCAGCCCACAAACAAAACCAATTCCTCGTGACAGACTGCATGAAAACAAGAAGAAATGGGATGAGATCTTCTCTAATTCTGTAGAAGGAAGGATAATTCCTTCTCTCTTGGATTATATCTCAGAGCACTGTCAAGTTTTTAACACAGCCTATTTAGAAAACAAAACAAATTCCCAGATCCTTAGTTTCCTCTCCTACAGGCACAAAGGATTAGAGAAATTCTTTATAAGGCTCATGTAGACTTTTCATTTATCATTTCTGCCACTTGTCATGCATATTTCAAATGGTACAGTAAGAGAACTGCTAGCAATGTACAATATCATAATGATACTTCCAAGATAAGCAACTCAGTTTTGCTTGCAGCTAATGACTGAGTCATCTGGCAGTTTCCAAAGCAGCAGTGGAAGTGTACAGTACAAACCTATGTTTTAATTTATGTCATTTATCACAGTGATTTTTTTTTCCGGATATCTGAAACTGTTAAAAACATTACCAATTATAAATTAATTAGTATAATCATTGCAAGTGCACAGGAATACCACTGGTGCTAACAAATTAGAAGGATGAGCAATCACCAACCATATGAAATTTAACAAGGGTAAGTGCTGGATTCTGCACCTAGAACGGGGCAATCTTGGTCATTTGTATAGGCTGGGGAATGAGATGCTGGAAAGCAGTGCTGTGGAAAGGGACCTGGGTGTCCTCGTTGATGGCATGTTGAGGATGAGTCAGCAGTGCCCTGGCAGCCAGGAGGGCCAACCGTGTCCTGGGGGCATCAGGCAAAACATCACCAGCCAGGCGAGGGAGGGGATTGTCCCACTCTGCTCTGCACTGGAGCAGCCTCACCTTGAATATTGTGTGCAGTTTTGGGAAACACAATATAAAAAAGTCATTAAGCTCTTAGAGAATGTCCAAAGGAGGGCAATAAGGATGGTGAAGGGTCTCGAGGAGAAGCCTTATAAGGAGCAGTTGAGGTCACTTGGTCTGTTCACCCTGGAGGAGATGAGACTGAGGGGAGACCTTGTTGCAGTTACACCTTCCTTTTGAGGGGAAGAGGAGGGGCAGGCACTGATTTCTTCTCTGTGGTGATCAGTGACAGAACTGGAAGAAACTGCATGAAGCTGAGGCAGGGAAGATTTAGACTGGATATTAGGAAAAGGTTCTTCATCCAGAGGGTGGTTGGGCACTGGAACAGGTTCCCCAGGGCAGTGGTCACAGCACCAAGCTTGAGAGAGTTCAAGAAGTGTTTGGACAACACTTTCAGGCACATGGGGTGACTCTTGGGGTGTCCTGCACAGTGCCAGGAGTTGGACTCAATGATCCAAAAGGGTCCCTTCCAAATCAGCATATTCTATTATTCTATCATAATAGTTCGTAGCTGAGATGGATAACAAGTAGGTTGGACCTCAGAGATTCATATGGTTGTTGCCACAGTAAAAGTTGTAAGTAAGCTGCACAGGGCTTCTTCCAAGAGACATGGTCTTTGCACTACAAAAACATGCAAAAAGATTGCACAAGAGATCAGAATCCCCTATCTAATCCCCCTCCCACAATAATTCTTTGACTTTTTCTATACAGCTAGCCTTTATACTCCTTGCCTGATGGACAGGTTAGTTTCTAACTAACAGATTTTATATTATTAGCACTCAGTTTTGTGCACTAACTTGTAGGCATGCAGCTGATTCAACTTTTCCAAGCAAAAATCACAACCATATTTTAGCCTGGACATACACCAAGCATAAGTCATAGAAATAACTCAACCAGCTTAATTTAATTAAAAAACAAACAGAATCAGAGCTGAAATAAACAAACGCAGACACTCCGTGATGAATCTCAGCCCACAAAGTTAAAACATTTGATTCTGAACACTGTTTTGCAGGAGATCACTAAGCAACTGTTCATCAGCTAAGTCCTAACCTAGTGGGGACAAAGCTAGGGCAGAGAATACAAAGTGAAGTTAAATCTGTAAAATAGAATTAGTTTTTACAATTAATTGGGAACAGTAAATTGAAAATGTTTTGCTGTAATGTTATCCCAAAAGGCATTACTCTGGGCTATCTGTGATATCATGTGGGTGTACCAGCATTCTGGTATCAAACTCAAAAACTGGCTACAACACAAATGAGGTAACAGAATGGTTTGGGGTGGAAGGGACCTGAAAGATCATCTAGTTCCAACACCATGCATAGGTAGGGACACCTTCCACAAGACCAGTTTCCTCAGAGTCCCAGCCAGTCTGGCCTTCAACACGTCCAGGAATGGGGCATCCACAGCGTCTCTGGGCAACCTGTTCCAGTGCCTCACTTCACAGTAAAAATTTTTTTCTAATATCCAATCTAAACCTACCCTCTTCCAGTCTGAAGCCATTCCCCCTTGTCCTGTCATTCCATGCCCTTATAAAAAATCTCCCCACATCTTTCTTACAGGCTCCCTTCAGGTACTGGAAGGCTACAGTTAGGTCACCCCAAAGCCTTCTCTTCTGCAGCCGGAACAATTCCTATAGGAGATGTCCCTTTAACCATTTTGGTGGCCTTCCCTGGACTTGCTCCAACAGGTCAATGTTCTTCCTGTGCTGGGGACCCCAGAGCTGGACACAGCATTCCCAGTGGGGTCTCACCAGAGCTGAGTAGAAGGGCAGAATCACCTCCCTTGAACTGCTGGCCAGGCTGCTTTCGGTGCAGCTCAGGGTACATAACACTCAACTTAAAAGGTAAGGCCTTTGGAGGAAACAATGGTGGTTATATCCTGTCACACAAAGGGCAAAAGTGCAAAGAAGGAAATGCTTTCTCCCTCATGCACTTTTTCACACTGATTACTTAACTTTTAAGACAGGCAAGAAGATTATTACTTGACCAAAGGCAGACATTACCTCTAAGGGCTGACAGAGTCAGTTAAAAATAGAAATACAAATGACAGTATATTGCTTTGCTAGTTCATAAGACACTAACTTTGTTTGCCTGCAATATCATGAACATATTATCACCACAAAGAGTTCTGTCACATTAGAATGAATAACATCAGGCAGGGATTTTAAATTGAAAACCCATTTGAAGCAGAGTCAGCTAGTCTAAGAGATTAAATCTCAGGGAAGCTCTGCTCGATTTTTTCCAGTGTCCAGGTACAGCCAGTCTTTTTCTTTCTCACTCTGCATGACTTTGAGGAAAGATACAGGAGGCTAAAAGTGAGAGCTAGAAAGAAGATAAGCAGACCCCACAAAGCGAACACACAGCACGATCCCTGGCATCTCCTATCTTCTCTCCATACTTAAAATGTCTATGTACAGATGTTATTTCATCCATGAAAGAAACCTGAAAGACAATAGGCAAGAACAATCTCCTCATTCTTCACAGGAAAACCTAAACTAATTCCCCTCATTTATCCCAGTAGTCATCAGAAGAAATGGAAAATCAGGGAGCTATTTTAAATATACACCAAAATAAGCATCACCTTTAGATGCTCATGGCTTTTCAACTCCAGGCTCACTTTCTAATACATAGATATATTTTTACTTGATGAAAAATAAAATGGAAGAGCATTCATATTAATTATTCCAGCTCTTCCTCTTATCTTTAGCTTCCCAGTTTATAGAAGTTTGAAATACCCCCACCATCAGCTTTCTAGTTTACCCCTGCTACCTTTTCATGCTACTCTTGGCCAGCAAGCAAGAAATGCAAAGAAGGTCTATGACCAGAAATACAGTGGAATCAAGTTGTTGTTTGCTTCTTTAATTTATTGATCCATATTTCGCTGCAGTAAAACTTTAGCAGCAATCCTGAGTGAGGATTAAAAATTTCTACATTCCTTTTTTTATTTCCTGCTCCTGGAAAAGAACCAACTTCTCTTAAACCACTGACCTGTGAAAGACAAAAACACATTCCTGTGTATTCTGCAGCTCTGTTTGTACATAACTTGGGCTTTACATCATATAGGTTACCTTTCATTCACCCCTACAAATATTACACCTTTTTAAAGTTTGGTGCAGATTCAGTTTCAAGGCCTCCAACATCAGAGAATCAATACAAGATCTGTAAATTATGCTGGAAAGATAGAGTGCATTAGTTTGTTTTCCCAAAATACATGATGCTGAGTATTACTGCACCAATATTTATTTTTACTTACACTACTATGCAAAAAAATCTTGATGTTGATGTCCAGCATTTCACTTTCAGAACAACTAAAGAAAAGTCTTTAAATATTCTAATAACTACAACAGATAATCTAGAAATCCCAAGTTTAAACCATGGATTGAAAGGGAGATATTTTATGTTGTGGACAGCATTTGAATGGAGTGAGAACATTTTATTAAAAATAATTCTGACTGAAAATCTTGTAATTCTGAAACTACTCCAAAATTCAAGTTTCAAACTCACTAAACAGTTCTGGTTGGAGAAAAAAGTGAGGGGTAGAAAGCATCAATAGTGTGAAAAACACATCTCAGTAGTCATAAGGAGGATTAAAGTTTTCAGGAAGGAACCCAGAAGGGTGGCTCCTGCGGCATTTTGACTGAGATGCTCCCATTTTGTATAATCTCTTCTTGCAGAATTATAGAAAGCCTGGTAGAAGAAAAGGCATACACTGCTGGAAAATATAAGCTGATTGAAAAGATTCAGAAAGCAGATAAGCAGAAATCCAGCAAAATTTGTACCATTCAATCCACATGCTTGTTCTCTTTCCATCAGGGTGGCCCGTCTTCTCCTTAAAGCATTTTGAAGGTTATTTGCCCCATATATAATATGAGGATGGGGTGTTCCCTCCTTCTGTGGATGCTTTTTAATAGGCTCAATGAAGTAATCCCCATGGGGTAGATGGAAATATCCAGTCTGAAAATAAGCACAAAAGAGTTAATCTCTACTGTCCAGTACTGGAAGTCAAAAATAAATACCCTTTTCATATCACCATCCCTGAGCTTTTCTCATAAGCCAATCATTACACTGCAGAAATACGAACACAATGGGTTTTCAGCATTTATTTGGCTGCATACATCAAGGCTGTTTCATACCTCACAAAGACGTAACAGTCCACAGGAGGATAGAAAAAAAAAGTCTTCCTCTAATAACCTGAAACCCTAAGGCAAAGGCTCTCATATTTTTACACAGCCACAAAAAGGTCAAAAGTTAATTTGCCAAACACGATGCACTAGAAGGAGCTGCATCTTGTTCTTCTGGTGTTTTGTATCTATTCCCCAGAGAACAAGACTGGAATAGAAGCTGTTTCATCAGTGCAAATCGAAATTCTTCTCCTAGCTGCTGTTCCACAGTCAATTACCCAACCTATCAGATGGGACTGTGTGGTTCAATCTTGACCCAGACTACAAACCCCCTCTGACCCCAGGGCATACAATGGAAGAAATAAACCATTTTTCATGAATTAGCAAGCCATTAAGAACATACAATAGACCAACTGAAAAACTGTAACATTTCTCATGCTATAACTTTTGTATAAACCACTTTGCTTTGCCTGAGCTACAGGGCATTTGATCCCCATCTGGACTAACAGCATTATTTTACACTTCCACAGGATTAGTTTACACCTCCCTCTGTGCCATGATCTAGATCCATGTAACCAGACATGGCCTTGGTCCCTTGTGTCTCAAAATTTTTGCAGGGACTGAGAACATTGCAAAACCATTGTACAGACCTTCCACTTCAAGACATATGGAACAGCAAAGCTCTAAATCAAAAGCTAAGGATCTACTGACATCCCAGTCCACGCTGGGGATGTGACATGAGGCTGAGGTATTCCACTGTTACGGCTTCTTTTCCCCTTCACTTCCTTGCTGTGGTCAGTGCGGCCTTCTTAACTTGTTCAGGAGCAGGGAAAAAATGCAGTAACCCTCTGTTCCTACAGCTGCTGTATTCAAATTTACAAGGACATACAAACTAAAAACCCTTTTAAAACACTCCAAACTCTTACGGTTCCTCTGGACAGTTGAGAAAGTCAGTATGAGGCTAAGGATATGAAGGAAATCGCATGAATGAAATAAAAGCATTCTTACAAAACTGTAAAATAACCATGTACAAGGAGACTGAAGGCAGCTCAGTGAGATCACTTAAGTCTCCCCTACCAAACACCTTCTGCCTGCACACTGATTTGCACAGGCCCAATATATCCCACTGCAAACCTGTGCAAATAAATAACTGTGGCTGTAATTTCACAGGTTTCCCAACAGTGATGAGCAGCAGAAACTCATTCTTTCTAATGCAAGTCAAAGTTTTAAAACCAGAGGTTGGCCTTGGTTTGAAGCCTTGTTTACACCCGTAAAGCTTCAAAGGTTCAGGACTCAAAGTCACATGTATTTGTTCATCTGGGATTACAGCTACTACCCATATGGCTTTTGTTTCATTTTTAAGAAAGAAGAAACAAGACTCCTGATTCTTAAACATAACATACAAAAAATGCTCAGGTTTCCATTTAAATTATAGATCAGGACATAGGACCTGAGACACACTACAAAAGCAGGAAATCCCATGGTCACATTCGATAAAGATGTCAGGTGAACATGAATCTATACAGCAAGAACTGCCTATACAGCAGTCAGACCAGGAACACAGGAGATGTGGCTTTCCTCTTGCTGATCAAGGAATCAAAGCACCATCACAAATCTTTGCCCATTCCTCCTCATTCCTCAGGGTCCAGTCTATCCTCGGCTTTTATAATGTCTGACTTATTAGACCTTCTTGCTCTGTTTTGTTTTTTAAGCCAATTAGAACCAGGAAAAGTTAACCATCTTCACTTGAAGACCCTGATTTTATAGAGCAGGTGATTAGTCACTAGACTATCATGTCAAGGTACATCTGTAACAAGAAGGGCCAGGCAATTCTATAAACAGGGAAGTAAGTATATCAGTGGCAAGTTCAATTCCCAAGCTCCCTCATCAATGCTTGCAGGTTAAAACCAAGCTGTTTAGAACAGGAGAAAAAAGAAAAAATTATTACATGAATGTGCAACAGCTTCCAGAGACTTCCAGCACCTATTGAACTTATGCTTTGCATTTGCACTTTTACCCTGCACAGGCTATACAAGAAATAAAATGCTGAGACCAAATGAAAGAAAAAAACCAACTAATCTTCACATTAAACTTACTTCAAAGCACTCAGAACTGACAAAATTCCCTTTGCTGATTAAATACGTCTTTAGCTTTGCTCTTTATAGTTGTTCTTTTTTGATTCACAAATACAAATACAACAGCAAGAATTTTTCATTTACAGTCCATCAGATTTCAAGATATGTAAATACAATATATGCTTTTTCTGAGCCATTTGTAGCATCGTCTCCCTTTGAATGCATTCACACAGCCTCAGAATATACAAAGGAGTCACATTATGAAAGACTCCTTGGAAATAAGCCAGTCATATTTACATTTATTACAGAGCTTAGTTATCATCACAGAAAAAAAATTACTGAAGACAATTTTTCCTCATTTAAACTTCTCTGTGAAAAGCTGTCACATAATACAGTAACAGAAATGGCCATAAAATAGGTAAGGGGTGTGTGTGTGTGTTTGTTTGGGGGTGAACGGTGTGTGTGGGCAGGGTGTGGGTGTTTCCCTCAATGCCTACAGCTGAAACTCTGAAAGTCTATCACAGAAATTTTTTTCTAAATTGTTGCTCTCCCTTCCTTCAGATCTCACCCTTCACCCTCAAAATCTTACATCCTGTGGCTGAAAATGTTTACCATAATGTATTTGGAAGTGGTGCTACATCACCTAATGGGATTATTAATTCATGTGCTTAATTACTTTGACACAAACAGTTTCTGGAACACACCACATCTCCTGAATTGCATATCACTTGCCAGGAGGACGTGGTGATCCTAGGGCTCTGCTGACAAAGCTTTCAACTAACTTTTTTGATTTTCAGTAGAATCTGCATTTTCCAGTGGAAAGCAGATATTTTTCACATATTCCTTTTGGTCAAAAGTCTGGGGGTTTTGTCAAAATACATTTTCTGGCAGAATCTTTTCATTCAGTTCCATGTGGGAAGCTGAAGCTGAGTCCTGTGGGAAGGGAAGGAGCAGCTTTAGCCTTGGCTATGGTTTTGCAATTGCAATGCTATTCCAGACAGGAGGGGCTGGTATTAGTGGGTGTATGTCAGCAGAAAAAGGAAGAGAAAACCCAATAATTTGCAGTTTAAAGCTATAATAACTAAGTATGCTGACAATAATGCCAAAAAAATAACATCTGTAGTGGGAACAGTGTGTAACTCACTGAAAGCAAATGGTATTTCTGGCAATATATTTCAGACAATTTTTCTGACAATGGGGCAGTGACAGACTCTGAAAACACATTGACTTTTAGAAGCAACATGAAACAAAAATAAGAAGAAAAGGTTCTGGGTTTACTTTGTAGGTACTTTGCTCCAGGTGCCTACTACAACTGTAAGGCATGGTAAGTGAAATTAGGTTTGACTAAAAGAATTACAGAAAAATATTGTGCCATAGGAAACATGAATTACCAGAGAACTGCAGCTGCACATAATCTTAACTAAGCTAGTGAAATAAAGTATCTGTTAACACTACACATGCTAAATTTATTTCAGCTAATCACTTAGTTCCTTTCTGTGTGTCACTTTTCTTTCTCCAAGGATCTTTAAGTTTGTCATATGTGCCTACCTCAGCAAAAACAAAACCTCAACATTCAGGTGAGATTTTCACCTACATCCTCAGACAGAGTTAACAAAAATGATCCTGCCATGCTGTTGCTCATGGAGAAAGAGGTTGCTTTTTTTTTTTAGGTACTGAGTAATTTGACAAAAGATTTTATGAACATCATCCACTGAAAAGGAGAGCACTCTACCTCTTATATAGGAATATAGGAAAAAAAACCCATGCTTTCAGCAGGATTTGGTGAAGAAGGTGCTACAAGATTGGAATTCAGCCTCATAGTTTAACATAGCTTTGGTCCAAAATTAAAATATCTTATTTTTAAGACAATAAGATGAGTAAAAGAACAGGATACAATCATATCACAAGATTTTATATTCTTTAAAAGCTGCCAGAAATCTGGCCAGAGGTGCAGCACTAGGCCCTGCACACTGTGGGCTCAGAAAGACGCAGAGGATAGGAAAAAAACATATCAATTCATAGCCAAATTTACAGCAGGTTGGACTTTCATGGAAGAAAATAAGATATCAAGAGAGGAAGAAGCATCTGACAACCTCCAGATCTTAGGTTCTTAAGGGACAGACATCAGTCCTGGACACTTAAGAGGTACAGGCCCTTCTGGCTGGGGACATACACTCAGCAAAGGATAAAAGTCATGTCTCTAGGGTCATGTATATCAGCTACCATACAACTACTTACAATACATGATCACTCAGCGGAGAGATTTGGCAGAGGGTCATTTCTCTGGATTATAGCATCCACTTGCTGGTGATCACACTAGACTTCATTTCCTCTTTTCACTGTTCTTGAGCAGGACAGATTCATCCCCTTGCCCACAGTATATTGGAGATGGGGACTTGGATGAAGGTTATCTAGGATATGTTTTAAGAAACTAAGGCATTAAACGAAACTAAACCTTTTCTAAAAATGGATAAGGGAAGTAAACAGTCCAAATCCTGTCTTCATTTACTCCTTTGTTGTGCTGCAGAAACAGTTCAGGAACAATTTCTACGGACCTCTGTGAGCTTTGCATCTCATACAGAATCTGAAGCATCCTGGCTACATTCATTTCTACTCTAGGAAATTATCTGTGAAATTAATCTTGCCTGGAGATTTGAACATGAAAATGTACGATCTGGAACACATAATTTTAAAAGACATCTCTGTTAGCACTTCAGGTCATGTCATCCTCCACAATCATCCTTACTGTCCATCCTAA